ATTACCCTGCCTCTCTTGGGGAGACTCGTGCCCATGTTGTGTGAACAACTCTGCACGAGCACCTAAGGAGGCTTACCTCCTTACCAGCCCGTGGTGGCGCGTACGTGTCTCTACTGAGATGTACGAAGGGATTGACAACCTGAAATCCCTTTACGACCGTGCCGGGAAGACTTTCTCCGGCGGTCCTTCTGCGGCACAGGATGTGTCGCGTCGTACTGCTCGACCAGACCCAGTACGTCAACCATCAATTGGGAGCGGGGCTCCCAAGAATCCCAGGACGGGGGATAGCCGCGCCACCGGACGAGGTAACTCGTCCGACGTCCGTTCACGTCGCGGTGGTTCAACAGCTGCTCTACTAGATAGCGCTGGCCACCGCGAGAGTCCTCTAATGGAGGTGGAGGAGGAGGAAAGACGCTCTCCACACGATCATGTGGATCGGTGTGTTCCCGAGAGCTTCTTTGATCGCGTAACGCAAGGGTTACGCGACGATCTCGAGCATGAGCGGAATAGGCGTCTCCAGATGGTGGACACTGCCTCGAAGCATCGAGCTGAGTTTGCCTTTGCTCAGCTTGAGAACGAGAGATCTCTGACATCTCTTCGTGACGAGCTAAGGGTAGCTCGTGGGATTGTTGATCGGTCTCGGGCTGAGATAACTGCTCTTCAGACCCTTGTTGATGCCCACCATCGGGAGCACAAGGCTCTCTGCGAGATGCTTGAGCGCAAGGGCGTTCTTCATCGGAAGAAGCAGCGTACTGATGGTACGGCTTAAGCCGACCAACGTAAAACGTGGGATGCGTTCGCATCTTACGTGGTAACTCGATCGTGTATGCATTGCCTAGGCGGTGCAATACACGAAATGGGCCAATGTACTTGGGTAGTAGTTTACTGCTACCCAAGTTAGTCACTACATGTTTTGGTAGATTAACCGTAGACAGTAGGACTAAGTCACCTTTATTAAATAAAAGAGTGTTTGCCCTTCCATTCTTGTCAGCGTTTTGCTTTTGCTTATCCACCGCTTCGGCGATGGAGTCTTGCACAAAACGGACTACCGTTTCACGAGCCAGTATGAACTCATCTGATGACTCGTTAGCTTCAGTGTGCTGTGAGCGCACTGCAGCGACAACAACCTTTTCTTCAGTGAGGGCTTCCGCACTCTCACTGGGATCATTGTCTTCAGTGAGGGCTTCCGCACTCTCACTGGCATCATCTTCTTCGATATCGATGTTATCGATATCGGCATCAAACGCAATGACTTCTTCGTCAGAGCGTGATGAGCGTGAACCAAATCGGTTTTTGCTCGCGCGAGTCCCTCCCCCCTTAAACCAGAGTTACACTCTAGTAAGGTGGGTACACGCGGATGGCGCAAGCCATTCACGTAAAACGGTGTATGTGTCGTGGACGCATGCACCGAGTTGTTGATGGCAAACTCTACCATTGGCAAAAACTCACTCCAACTCTTAAAGGAGTGTACTTATCCTCGAAGTATCTCTTCAAGGACACGATTGGCACGTTCCGTCTGACCATCTGACTCTGGATGATCAGATGTTGACATCTTCAAGCGCGTTCCGAGTGATTTGAACACGGAACGCCAGAAATCAGCAGTGAATCGTGGATCTCTGTCTGATACGAGTTCACGGGGCAACCCATGAAGTCGGAAGATGGTGTCAATAAAGACACAAGCACAGCCACTTGCCGTGATTGTCTCTGGTACAGCCACAAGGTGTACCATTTTGCTGAATCTGTCAACAAATACGAGAATACCCGTATTCCCGCGTGCGTCTTTGGGTAACCTGAAGACGAAATCCATTGAGATGGATTCCCAGCACTCAGCCGGAACCGGTAGAGGCTGTAAAGGTGCACGCAGTGAAGGACTTGACTTCACTCGTTGGCAGATTCCGCATGCGCGAACATACTTTCGCACAAACTGATACTGGCGGGGCCAGTAAAAGTCTCGACTTACCGTGAGATATGTTTTCTCTCGGCCACGATGTCCTCCTATAGGAGCATCGTGATACTCGAACATGATCCGCAAACGCAGATCAGTATCATCTGGAATGACAACACGTGGTGTGTCACCAGAAACGGCTGTATAGTACAGTAAACCGTTACGAGTAGTGTATCGATCTGATGCAGATCGATACGCAGACGACAATCGTTTCAACGATTCTCGAGATGGTTGGGAGAGATGTGACAACAACTTCACTATCTCACCATCTTGGGCGTATGCCCGCCTCACATCATCATACAACGTTGTAGATGGAACTGAGGACGTCATAACCGCAACAGTGACTGTCTCACTGTTGGGTTTCGCGACTGTTTCAAAGTCGGGACGACGTGAGAGTGCATCAGCGACGACATTAAGTCGTCCTGGTTTGTACTCGACCGTAAAGTTGTATTCTGCAAAGAATGACAACCACCGCGCCATTCGTTGTGAAAGGTGCGGGCTGTTCACTGCCGTGCGTAAGGACGCATGGTCAGTGTAAACAACGAAGGGTCTATCTCCTAATAGATAGACTCTGAACTTCGCGAGTGCATACTTCATGGCAAGGAGTTCCTTGTCATGCACTGGATAGTTCCGCTCAGCTGGTTGCAGCTGACGCGACTGATAGCAGACGACGCGTTCAACGCCTTCAAGGTCGTACTGCATTAATGCACAGCCGATTGCGAAATCGCTGGCATCACAGACCACATGAAATGGCCTGTCCTGATCGGCTATTGCTAGGACTGGGGATTGTATCAAGCTCTGCTTGATACCCTCAAAGGAGCTCTGACATTCAGCGTTACATAACCACCTCTCGTTCTTTTTCAACAAACGAGAGAGGTGCACAGTCATTTCGGCGTAATTGCGTGAATACCTATGCAAATACGCCGCTAGCCCAAGGAATAATCGAAGACCTTTGACGTCAACCGGCACAGGCCAGTCGGTGATCGCCTTGATCTTTTCGGGATCAGGACGTACACCGTTCTTACCAACGATGCACCCAAGAAGAGGTATTTCGCTTGCTGCAAATATACACTTCTTGAGGTTAGCATACAATTGATGCTTTTGCATGATTGTAAGAACCTGTCGGACGTGGTACCTGTGAACCTCAACGTCCGACTTTCCATCCATAGCTCGACTATGGATGAATACGTCATCGAAATAACTCGGCGCGAATTCTCGTACTGGTCTCAACAGATGTGTATCACATCTGTTGAACGTGGCATGGGCATTACTAACCCTTGTGGCATTACTAGCCATTCCCAGAGCATGCCGCTAGGTGTGCTAACTGCGGTATAGGGTATATCCCATTCTCGCATAAGGATTCGATAGAAGCCATTCATCAAATCCATGGACGAAAAGATGGTACTCTTTGACATACCATCAATGATTACGTCCTTCCTCGGTATCGGCGTCTGAGCCGGTACCGTTGCAGCATTCAACTTGTTAAATGCATGCACTATCCGCCACCCCTCCTGTTGCTTTTCGCACACAGAAGGTCGGAGAGCTATGTGGGGAAGTTGATTCCCTCATATGGCCCGCAGCTAAACGATCGGCAAAGAACTTGTCGATCGCAAGTACTTGTTCACGAGGCAGTGGCCACTGCTTCATGACACAGTACTTCGATCCTGGTTTAAGCTCGACCTCGTGTCGAATACCTTTATCCTTCGGTAATTCGCACGGAACAGTTTCAGGGAATACATCCTTGAATTCAACCAAATCTTCATAGAGAGGATTTTCCTTGAGCGATTCCCATGATTGGGACTCATATCGCTCAATTCGTGTCTTTTCATCTAGGACACTCTCGTCCATAGATGAACTACTGAGAACTCTCTCGTTCTCAGTAAACACTGTTGCTGACCTTATGTCGGTTACATACTCGTCTTCAGCGACGAGTATGCAGATCTGCTTGACTTTGCCACTACGCAGATCACGCAAGAATCTTTATGTTCGAGCGTTGGCAACTGAGTGATCTCCGAAGTTAACTTCGAGGCGCAATCAGATCAAGTGTATAAGCGCCTACACTTGATCCGTTATTGACTATGACATTCAATGTCTCTGTCATTTCCTGGGGACTTATTCCCTCAGGCTTCGAAGGACTTATTCCTTCGTCTTCCCGGGGACTTATTCCCGCGGGTTTCGGGGAACTTATTTCCGCCGTATTTGTAATCTTGGGACTTATTCCCTTTACTTTCTCTAGCTGGGGTTGCGCAACCACAGCGAGATCCTCTACGAAAGACTCTCCAGTCGATCTAGGATTATCGTTTCGCTTAACCTGAGCGATCGATTGTTTCTCTTCTAGATGTTCCCCTCTAGGGATACATCTTTGTCCCAGTCCACCCGACTTATTCGAGTGGTGGACCTTCGGCGCAGCCTGTGTTTCCTCACAGCCGCCGGAACTTGGCTCCGAAGTGTAACCGTTTGGTACACTAAGGTTTTGTGCAGTCGTACTAACGACCGTACCACAAGTGAGGCCATCGCACTCACTCGTAGTACATCCACACGCTTGTGGACGCTCCAAAACGTTCATCAGATGGCCATCTGATGAACAAGCGGCAGGCATCGTTACTGTCCGATGTTGCCAGTTTACCCGTGGTTCGTACCTTCTGAGCCACGGTATTCCAAGGATGACATCAAATTTGTCATCCAAATCCAATACGATAAAGTCATCGTCGTATTGGGTATCTTCTAGCGTATAGTGAATCTTCACTATACGCTTCATGACGGTTACGGATGCGCCTGTCGCAAGACGTACCGTCATCCTCGTAGGAGGTGTGTCACATTCACTGAACTCAAAGTGACCATCTTCTAGCGATTGGCGTCGCACAAAATTGTTGGACGCCCCACAATCGACTAGAGCTCGAAGGGACAACTTATTCGTCACTTCGAGTTTCAAGGTAATGAGTGAGATCTCATTACCTAGAGCAGCAACGCACAATGTCTGTGTGTTGGGAGCAACCTTCATCAAGAGGCCTACCAAATTCTCTTGACGTTGCTGGATCAGTAGGGTGCTCCGCACCTACTGATCCTGTCCGTTTTTTGACGGTCCATCCCGTTGTTGCGTCTTTGCACCAACTGCGGACCCTCGTCCCTGCCCCTTTCTCATGGGTGGACGGTCACTACGCCCAGTGTCGCGAGACACTGGACGAGGGGCACTACACTCATAAGCGTAGTGTCCTGTCTTTTGACATCTGTTGCATCTCTGTAACTTCTTGTAGCCTGTAGAGCGAGCCTTCTCGCTCTCTACATAACAGAGTTCCATCGGCTCTGGACCTCCGTTGTCATATCGTCTCGGTTGACGATATGATGTCGAGCTGGCGCGAGCCTGTCTCAGACTGAAGTCTTCCTGCTCCGCAATGGAAATGGCTTGTTCTAGTGAATCTAGTTCAAGCCGGAACAGGTGAGTCTTGACGGGACCATCCGCAAGACCCTGCATGAACACCGAAACCAACGTGTGTTCATCCACCGGATTGGAACTTATACAACTCGTAAGATGTCGTATGTGTTGAGCGTAAGCGTGCACATCACGCTTACCCTGCTTGAGCTTCAAGAGTTCGGTTCGAGCCCTGAACTCAGCTCTAGGCGGTTCAAACGTTTGTCTGAGCCGCGACTTGAAGACTTCCAACGACCCAAACGCATATGGGTCGTGCAGCTTGAGCCCCAGTGCCCAAGTCTTGGCACGTCCTGCCAGATTTGACTGGGCAAATGCAACTTGCATATCCCCGTCGTCGATGCGACGCGCCCTTATGGCGTCATCCAATTCGACGAACCATCTCAAGAGGGAGTCTTCTTCGACCCCCCTATACTTTGAGATGTCAATCTTCAAAGTCTCGGGCCGACGCGAGTGCATCGACCCGCCAGCAGCAGCCTGCTGCTGTCTCAACAGTTCAAACTGTTGAGCACCTTGTTCTCTCAACAACTCTGCTTGTTGAGAACCTTGTTGGTGAAGCAAGGCTACTTTCTCGCGTTCTGCGTCAAGTTCATTTTGAATGAACTTGGCGATAGTAGCATGTTGGGCATCTCTATTGAGAGCCTCTAGCATGACGCTAACAGCATGGATGCCCATGGTCGAACCCATTCGTTCAACCGCATCCCATTCGACATCGCTCAAATGGGAGTAGCCGTCACGCGTAGCGTGAAAGCTTTGGTCATCTTCATCATCCAACATATTCATGTTGGATGTGAACGCGGTCCTTGGACGGACTACAAAGTGCTACCAGGTGTAACGGGGCACCCTGAAGCTTGTACTGGTGACAGTACAAGCTACTTATTCTGATAACAGAATAAGGCGGTGCCTCGTAACTTCACGTACACTCGTACGTGCAGAGGAAGACGGTAAGAAGAAGCGAGTACTCGGTTAGAGTAAAAAGTAGAACTGTATTTATAATAGTTAATGTCTGCAATAAATCACTATTTATCTTCATCTAACTATGTCTAAATACAAATGTGTAAATCAGTTATCTGCTCACCACTCATTGCGTGCGTCTGTCGTGGCGCGTCTTCGTTGGTTGATATAATGGCCTATATCAACCAATTAGGAAGTACTTGGGAGTGCTACAGAATATTGTCCTTATGACAATATTCTGAGAATATAACTCTTATAGTTATATTCTATTAACAATTTCTTATAAATTGTTATGTAACGATTCACCCCGTTACACCCAGCGCTTCTACCTATTAAGAAATTGTAAACTAGCCATCCCCTCGTACGTCTCTAAAGATACACGAGCCCTTCACCAGGACCGATCATCGAATAAGCTCCTTTTAAACCTCGTACCAAGTTGTCCACAACATTGGTACGGATCACCCCAGGAGAGGCGTAACAAACCGGGTTCCCTCGATAACCGATGCGGTTTGTAATGTGCACTGTTATGGATCCGTAACTCAAACCTATTCCGCGATATTTTATGCTTGTCAATCCAGGCATCGTGTCCGAACTACCCAATATTTTGAGTGAACGCGTTGCATGTCTAATCCAGCGAGGGACCATCCCTTTTTTGGTTCCTGCTGTACCATTGATGTTCAAAAATTTGATGTAGACATCATTCTCAGTGCAAAAGTCACTTGTGCTAGAGTCAGTACCATGAATTCTTAATGAATAAATTAGTCTTTTTCGATACCGATCACTTACAGTATTGTAAAAGTAATCCAAAACCCTCAGAAGAGGCAACCACGCCAATTTATCGGGAGCGACGAGCAGATGCCGCTAGCTCTGGTTTCATGCGTGGTTTCAATAAAAGTGCCGACGCCAGAACCAGTACGACTGTCATGATAGTGAAGCATCACTGCATCGCCATTACCATGACCATCATTAGAATGGCATTTAACACAACACCAGTCAATCTACAGCGAACGACTCCTTCTTGTAGACGCAGCATCCGACTCGTCGGAAGATATAAAAAAGTCAAGATTCTCAGTAAGGTAATAGCTCTTTGCGAGAATAACTTGGTCGAATCCGTCTCAGACGCTTCTGGCTATGTCTTCTTTGCTGTCGACTTCGAGTCGATGTCGCCATCCAACCCGCTAAATTACATGAGCTCGAGCCTTTAATCTCCGATGTCACGCGGTGCATTAATGCGTGAGCCTACAGCAGTGAATGATGCAGGATGAGTAGAGAAAGCAGCAGGCGAATTGGTGCCTGCTACATTCAAATCTTTTGCCTCTTCCACGACAGCAGAACGTATTCTCATTGCTGCAATCATGATAGCTTTGGCCGCGCACCGCGTAGAATTGTTATACATGCGATGTTATCGGGGAATGGTTAAAATGGACTAACAAGCTCTTTTTTGTCTCATGTTCACTTAACGGAGTCAAATAATCTTTATCGGTCACTTATGCGACTGATGCGTAGGGGTGGTGAAACGAGGTGCCTCCGATTTATGATAGCTTACATAACTAAATATCATGTAAGAAACTTATGTTACGACGTACATCAAAATTTCACAATATTGGCATAACAAGTATTTTTTTGATGCAGAACTAATAAACTGATCACTGTTTGATACTGACTAATGGTATCAATCAATGAAGCCAGTCCACGACGGAAAAACTTAATAAGTGGTGAGTAGATACGTACGATACATGTTTGTAATTAAAATATAGTTGAAAGAAGAATAAATGGAAATAATTAGCAGGAAATTAACTATACTAAACACGTAGCTACTTTACCCTTATCTCGTGTTGGAAACTTGCTTTGCACGGCGCTTGTAATTGAGAAAAAGGCACCTACTTACTCTGTCCTCAGGTTAAGAAGATTTTACCGTGACAATTTATGTTTCGGTGCCCCTTTACAAGTTCCATGTGTGGCTGCTGATACATCTTACTATTAAAATCAAGCATCGGCCGTACCAGCTACAAGCGTGATCTTGTAATTTATGCTGTAGCATTTATTGATACCAAAGCGCGTCAGAACGCCGTATACATTGCAATTAAAGGATTTCATGCTCGATGCATTGCACTGGTGGCGCTTCCAGTCTTAATCGTGTACAGTCCTGATCGTACCATTGCCTCAGTAATGTTGTTTTGTAAGCTCACGAGCCTTTCGATAATTATGCTTGTTGTGTGTATAATTTACCTACCTTTGACACCATACTCGTAATTTCTACTCATTTGTAACTCACCCAAGCGCATGTGTATAAGGGTGTGCATCCCACCCAACCAATAATAATGCGGGAGACTATTACGCGCACATAAAATTAAAATGTAGTTCTAGAACTATTTTTGTAGGCCTCCATCCTTAGGGAATCACTCGATCGTAGCCACCTTTGTGTTCCTTCGCCTGCAGTTCTACCCAAATTTACCGTAACTACCCAAATTGGTCCACAATCGACATAAATAAAATTTCACTGCTCCTCGCACCACGAATGTATGTGCCAAATTCTTTGTAACATTAGTTCATAATTTGGATCGTTTCCTTCTTTTTTCGTACTCTCCAGCCGAGACTACTTTTGTTCTTACCTGTCGTTTCCTAGGTAAATGCTGTATTCTTGGCCGTGGCTTAGCTATCGTCTTGCAATGCGGAGGAACAGATTTGCTCGTTGTATCCCGCGTAACGACACATGCGACAACGCAGATCATCGAAAATTAGATCACCGCCAGCTACACATGCTTATACTCTGAAAGTTCCCGCTGCGTTAATCTTAAGTTTCTTTATTTAATTGATCATGACCCGGCGGCATGCTTAAATTCATTTCCATAATTCAAACTCAATGAACCGTATAAAAACAAATGTTTTAAATGAGTATACTCGATGCCCTTGTTTCTGAGCGCATTAGACAACATAGTTGTCTTACACGTAGCTGGTAAAAACGAGTATCTGACGTCATCAATGCTATCCGGTAGTCATCAAGAACACCGGACTATGTTTTACTAACGCGGGTATACCTGTTGTCTCGCATTTTATCTTGATAGAAAAACTTAAGTTTATAATAATTTGCAAACCCAGCACCAAGCAGATGCAAACATTTTAAAACCTGCGCCAGTCTCTTAATTAGTGCCACTTTGTAATGATATTATTGTGTACCCCCAAAATCACCATATCGTTATATACCCATTCCTCAATCCGCAGTCGCCACTATAGACGGTCCCCCTTCTCAATTCTAAAGACCACCCACCTTTGGCGTAGATTGTCTCTTGCTCGACCACAAACTGTGCGAGAGAATCCTTGTGCAGTCCTCTCGCGAGGTCTTTGTATACGAAAAAGGAAGGTCGGGAGGGGGCGAAGCACAGAAATTGATGGTAGGCCACCAATCTTTTATCCAAGTTGGAATTTAAAACTGACAACCGTAACATGTGATAGTGCGGTATTCGTGTATAATTAGATTCAAGTCATGCGCTATTGATAGACCGTATCGGAGCCAAAGGTTACGCAGTTATGAGACCTTATCGATGTGCCAAGATATCGTTACAGCGATAACTTTAAACGATCGACGTGTGTGTGAATATAGAATATTGTGTACATCGTGTATTTGCTTAGGTCGACTACCTAACCTTTCGATCGTAGGTGAAGAAGCCCCGGCTGCCACATTCCTCGACACACTAGGACGCCTTGATGGTCGTGCAGCGCGTTCGACGGGACGGGGTAGAGGCAATTTAGACCATACACCACAACACGATTCATATTTATGGTGATTGCACACTCGAGCGCAGTAAGCGTCTCGCATGGTCCGTAAATACCAATTAATGGGGACGAGTGCAGTGCTATTCGTCAGAAGTATTGCATGACCATTTCAATGCGCCGCTACCGTAATTAGCATTGTACAATTGAAGGACATAACCGAATATCGAGTATATCATACAGGCTTTGGCTACACAGACATCGAGCAGCGTTTATTTGTTTAACAAACACATAATTCACTCTTTCCTCTGTTTTAATCATTACTTAGTTGATTTGATGTCGCGGTGATCTATGACCTGCAGCTTAAGATTGGTAACATGAAAGTAAATCCTCGCTTGCCAAAATGCTTCATAAGAATACCAGGTACGGCAGTTGAAGTCGTGACATGGCAAAGCCATCAATGGAGCATGCACATGACCCAGGTAAATTTCTTCGCAGTGACTTTTCGTTTTAGTGGACAGCTGGGGTCGCACTAGTCCTATGGCACCATAAAACCTCACATGAGTCGATCGCTGCCGTTTGTCTGATGCCTCAATGCAATAACAGTATTTTTATGTCAATTTGTTTTGGCACCTGTAGCCTTTTTACTATTCGGTCTTCAATACAAAGGGTGGTACACATTAAATCCGTCACAGAACATAACTGGTTATGCAACTGGTGCGGGTTTTGCAATGTCAGCATCGGGAAGGTGCTAGATTTGCGATTTACTCAGTTTGTAACGGATCAAGGAATTTTTTTTCTGGATGCTTATAAATAGAGTATTTTTTAATACACTCCATTAACACATCCAGACCACACCTCAATATGGTTTTTACGACAGAAGAACAAAAGATGCGCCACCATACCTCTATACGACCACAATCGCACAACATATTACATCTACCGTACAAATGTTAGTGATTTACCAAGAAAATTTCTGTTAGCGTGCAATCACTGACTGAAGCTCTTCCCTTTGGTAAACGACTTGACCGACAAGCACGACGCACTCGTCATTCACCTTACCATATATTAAATAAACATCATACATCACACCCATACCGAACCACAACATGGTTTGT